ATAATACATATTTTCTATGAACTTATTGAAGGTGTGGGTATATAGTGGAGTGTGTTTATATAAATCCCTCCAAAATGGACATTTGTTAAATTAGCAGATAAAGAGTTCATCGTTTATCACTTCCTTAGATTTTATCCATTGAAGGAGCATTATGATAAAATGTGATAGAATGGCAAAACTTGCTCTAGAATTTGTGGAGAATTTGTATGTAGTGGGTGGGGAAGAGTCAGGTCTAGTTCACACAAGATGGCCAATGAAGGCCTCGTGACATTTAGCTGCAACCTAAAGGAAAGATGTTAGTTGTGTTAAGAACAGAAGGAAGGGTATTTGTGTAGCACCTTCTGTAACAGAAGCCATGGTCTTTGTATGAAACAGAGCTAGCCTATGGGGCTAGAATGTCTCCTCCTTCCCTCACTTAGAAGATACCCCACTTGAGGATGTAGTCCCTATGGTACTCACCATGGTCTTCTCTACACATAGCCCATGGACTGGCACATATTGGGTGCTTAGTAATTATTTGCTGAATAAATGAACAAACAAATGAGTGTAGAGACAATTGACTATAACTACTGTAAGATGAATCCATGGCAAAGGCTCTGAAAAGGCAAAAGAAGGGCATTAGGTGGAAAACCTCTTGTCTCATCCCCAGCAAGAGGCTTAATTCAGTTCTTCATTTGGTGCAAAGTGAGGAGTTGAAGTCAGAAAGGGTGGTTCGTCATGGCATAGCCCGGATGTGAGCACATTGTTGTCTCTAAAACTTTCTCCTGGGCGTTAAGCAAAAATGGTTCCACATCCAGGGCCCATCTGCTTGTGCAGTGATGCAGATGATTCTGCGCTCTCTCAGGTTCTGCAGTGAAGGATATGGCCACTGGTGATGCCTGCGTTCCAGGGGCACTGGTGTAAGCCCCAGCCAAAAAGCATCTTACACCTGCCAGTGAGGTGCTCAGAGCTGTTAAGTAACTGTCCTCCAGACTCACAGCTAGTCAAGGTGCAAGTGGAAACTGAAGCCAAAACACCTAACTCTCAAGTCTTATTAGGAAAATAAAAAGTGTTTTTCTCCTTCCACAGTCAAACCTGACCCGCCCAAGAACCTGAAGCTGAAGCCATTCAAGAATTCTCGGGACGTGGAGGTCAGCTGGGAATACCCGGACACCTGGAGCACTCCACATTCTTACTTCTCCCTGACATTCCGTGTTCAGGTCCAGGGCAAGAGAAAAGAAAAGGTGAGAGGCATTTTTGGTGCAGCATAGTCCATGGTCAAGTTTGTGCAGGCCTACATCAGGGAGAAGCTAAAAGATGAGGAAAAAAAAAATTTTTTTTTTTAGCACTATGTGCCTAAAATTGTGCTAAGGATTCTCCATGTGTATCTCACCTGACCCACAGAGCCTTGCGAAAGTAGCCAGTATTATTATCACCACTTAACAAGTGAAGACACTGAAGCTCAGAGAGATTACGTGACTTGCTCCAGGTCACTCAGTTCAGTGTTCAAATCAGGACCCAAACAGTATACCAAACACAAAGTCCAGGCACCTCACCTCCTCACTGCTCCTGGAGGGCTGGTCATTTATTTATTGGTCCTGATGTAGGAGCTCTGCACTCCAGAGGCCTTAAAGTATTGTTTCAACCAAGTGAGTAATAACGAGTGATAGAACCTTCATGCTATATCCCACCCAAAATCGTAGCTCTAGCTGTTCCAGATACTGGGAATTTATTCTACCAGGCAGGATGTCTGCACTGACATAGGCTATAATGGTAGCTTTCCAACTTCCCTGCCTTAGCTCAGAATTCCTTTGCGTCTCTCAAGTCTAGAGGTACTTTTAAAACCACTGAACAAAGTCCTTATTCAGTACAGCATTTAGCAAGTGGTAGGAAGTCAGTGATTCAGTCACTCTCTGAGGAAAAAACAATAAGGGAGGGGTAAGGGGTGAGGCTATTCTGAAGTAGATTTTACCTAAATGTCATTTAAAATCTCAGTAAGTACCTTCCCTATTTAAGACATATATCATAAATAGGTAATAATGTTTCCTTTGTACTAAAGACTCAGAGCTTTACGTGATTGTTACCTTTTATTTTTACAATCTTATGGGGAAGCCATTATTGTTATCCCTATTTATAGTGAGGATATAGACACAGAGAGCCTAAGACATTTTCCTGACGTTACACAGCTATTTATATTAAGTAATGGTGCCAGGATTTGAAAGCAAGTTTGTCTGATAAAAGAACTAGGGGATGGGATTTCTGAATATCCAGGGGAACGGGTCAGAGCAAATCTGTCTCCACCTCACCATGAGCCCAGTGCAGAGGTGACTCTCCACAGGGCCTTGGGGCAAAGTAGCTGTGCTAGAAAGATGAAAGCTGGACCATTCAATGCCTTACTTGGGACTTACTAAGTAGAAAAGCCACATGTAAGGCTAACTCTTCTACCAGTAGGTGGTGCAAGTTCTGTGCACGCCCTGTGAACTTAAAGCCCTAAGACTGGAATTTGCTCGCTTAGGGAGGTGGTGCTTTGCAGACAGCATTGCCAATGAGCCTTCACAGAATTCTGTTTCCCTAGCAGAAGGATAGTCTCTTTGTGGACAAGACCTCAGCCTCTGTCACCTGCCACAAGGAGGCCAAGATCCACGTGCAAGCCCGGGACCGCTACTACAGCTCATCTTGGAGCACATGGGCAACTGTGTCCTGCAGTTAGGTGAGCAGGCCCACAAAGCCCAGCCCAGACATGCAAGTTCAATGAGCCCATCAGGGCAATGATGGGTTGGCCATGCAAGAGAGGGAAGGGGAGATGAGAAACCCCAGCACATGGTTACCAGAGTCAGAAACATTTATTTATTTATTTATTGAGAGTTTTTATTTTTTTTCTATCAGGTACATGCGCCTGCCAGAAGGACAGAAAACGAGAAATCACACACACACACATACACATACACACACACACACACACACACACACACCAACAGTGGGAACAGTGGGAATGGCCATGCCCAATCCCTTCTTCCTCTTCTCCTTCACTCTCCTCTTGGGATTTTGGGCATGCATGCACACACACCCAGCATTAGTTTCAAGCCACCAGGCTCGGAATTTGGACCATGATCAGCCATGTGAGAGTCCACTGACATAACCATCACAACATCTGCTGGGCCCAGAAACTTTTTTTTTCCAGAGAGACAGAGAGACAGGAGACAAGAAACCACCCTCCAGGGGGGATGGTCATAGAGCAATCCCTTCTCCTCCATTCTCCTCTCGGGATTTTAGGCACACATGCACACACGCCCAACGTGAGTTTTAAGCTGCTGGGTCCAGGACTCAAACCACAGTTGACTACTTGAGAGGCTAGTGATGTAACCATTATGCCATCTGCTGGTCCCAAAACATTCATATTTTAACAGATATTTGTCTGATTCCTGGATTATGTCAGACTCTTTGCTGGACATGGGGATATTACAGTAAAGAAAAAGGCATGGGTCCTACCTTCTTATAGAAGAAGGCATGGAAGAAAGAGAGAGAGAGAGAGAGAGAGAGAGGTGGCCAGAGTCAGAACATGGGGGACTTGCAATTCCAGGAGTTAAAACCTTGCCCTGGGGTCTCTGGCACTGAAGGGTATTAGGCAAAGAAGTAACACAATCAGATATTCTTGAAAGAAAACTCTCAAAAGAGCCTCTGGCAAGCATCATACCAGGTAAATGCCAGGCCACATAAAGGCTGGGCCTCCTAACATGGAATCCCAAAACCCCATTGCTTGAGATAATGTGCAGTGAGAAATAAAAAGGGCCTGTTGCTGCTTCTATAACCCACATAGACTTTTGGCATCTTTTCCAGGTTCTAATCCCGCGATGGACCCTTGGAAGAAAAGTAGATGTGATCCAAAGTTTTAAAGACACAATGGAATAGACCCCAAAAGATGTTTCTACCTGATTTGCTTTTTTATGGTCCCTAGGATCATACAGAGGTGTTTGCTCTATTTTTCTATTTGGATGCTAACTGCTCACAGAAACAATGATCTTATTTATTTCTAGCTCTTCTATCTGTCAAGTTGCCACTGACTTTAATGCTATTTAAGTATTTAAATAATTTATGTATTTATTAATTTATTACTGTTATTTAACATTTGAGTGCCAGGGTGAATTGAATGTTTTATACTGTCATGACCCGATCCACAGAGATCGGGCCCTATTATGTAAAATGTGAATTGAAGTGTTATTTATACTGACAACTTTTTAAGCCAGGGTGCAAGCACATCAGTTTTATGACACCAATGAGAGCACCATGTTCTGATGCCAGTGCCATCATGAATTTGTGATGGATGGGAACACGAGATATTTACATTGAGACGTGAAGACATAAGCTTGTTGGAAGAAGTCCTGGAGAAGGACCGGTTCCCAAATCCATGAAGACCTCTTTGAAGTGGTATTGGTAAAGTTGTTCAGGGCCACCTGCACTTCTAAGCAAGTTTAGTCTTCGAATGCCTGGATTTTAAAAAGGGCTTAAAAAAAAAAAAAGATTGCAATTGAAATCCAGCCTCAGACTCCCTGGCAGTTCCTGCCCCAACATCTCTGTAAGACACAGGAGGGAGGCACAGACACATGCCAAGTATCTGGAAAGAAAAAAAAATCTTAGGAGTCAAGAGGGAGGGCAAACGTAGTTATGTCTAAGGACATAAAATTGTCAGAATTGCAGGTGGCTTCTTAACAGCCCTGTGAAAAAAAAGCAGACAGTCAAAGAGAAAACCATCTAGACTGCCTCTCTGTCAGCATGAGGGAACCGGACATGCAGATATGACCAGAAATCATTGCTCCGTGAAGGTGCTACTTTTAAATAATGAATGTGCTTTCCTTAATGTGATTACCTTTGTGTTTTGTTTGTTTGTTTATTTATTTATTTATTTTTGTATTCTGAGGCCAAATTAATAAAAATTCTTCTTTGCAATCATATTTTGGGCTTTCTCAGCTGATTCGTATATTTGATTTCCATATCTACCAGGGTGCATTTTTCTCCCCATCACTTACAAATTGCCTGTCCTCGAAGTGATTTCATTCCTAGTTTCGCAGAGTTGCTCTTTCTCTTTATAGTATTTCCAAAGTCAGTATGTTGCTGAGCTCAGGAGATGGCCCACTTTCTTACTGAGGGGACTCTGTAAGGGCATTGAACCATGCTGTGCCCCCTTTAGGGGCTGGGTTTTCCCGCTTCTTTCATTTTCTATCCTGGAATGGAATCTCTGGTTTCCCCAGTGTCATGAAATAAAACTCTAATCTGGTAGAATCCTGGGCAGCACATTTCATTAATATTAATATTAGCATTAGCTTTAGTATTTTTTAAAATTATTATTGCCGGAGGGCATGGGAACTCTCCAGAGATAAACAGAGAGAAAGAGAAGCATCTTTCCCCTCCACCTCTCAAATGGGGCATGGTTATCCTGCAATCCTTTCTCTATTTCTCCATCCTGCAGGATTTGGAAAGCGCTTACATACACACTTTGAGTGTTTTTCAAGCCACCAGGGGACTAAGAGTGGAACTGGGCAGTCAGCCATGTGGGATCCAACTCCCTCAATCACCAGGCCATGGGGGTGGACCAGCTCTAGTATTTATTGAGGGCTTGCCATGTGTATGTCAGGACATGTACTAGCCTTTGGGGTTGAGGAGTTCCAATGAACCTCATGTTGCTCGCTCTGGACAGTGCCCACACCTGACACTGCCTATAAACAAGGATGGAAAGTTAACCTCAATACCATTAAGTGCTAAAATGTTCAATATATGTGGGGTCCTGGGGTGAGAAAGAAAGAGAGGGATCTGTATAACCTGGAGTTACCCAGAAAGACCAGACAGAAAAAAAGGAGGTGCCAACTTTGGTCAGCAAGAATGGCAGGGCTTGTCCATTTTCCTTTGGTGCCTCCCAAGGAAAGAGCAAACAGTGGAGCCAGAAAGGATAGAGCCAATTCCTTGTTATCTTGAAAATCCAGATGTGCACATCTGGGCTTTCTTGCAATTGCAGGGTAATTATAATAGGGGGTGTTTATTTACAGTCCTGATCTTAAGTGTCCCATGGAGCCCTTATTCCACTCTGCTGCTGGCCTGGAGGAAAGGAGGCACTCCTGTCATCCCACTTCAGCCTTTGAAACCTATCATCTTGTGTGATAGGCCCATACTTGACAGCATGTGGTTGGTAATAATGAGGTATGTCCTCCTCTAGCGTCTTTTGTCAAGAGATACCAATGCAGATACCAATGTTAAAGAACAGTGTTAACCAGGAAAACAATCACATTTCATAAGCACTGGATCCTCGGAATCCTTTCCAAAACTGGTGACTTGCTTGGGGCAGAGCTTAGATGTTCTCATTCCCATGGTGACCATTATTTGTTTATTTTTTTGTTTTGTTTTGTTTTTGCCAGAGGGCATGATTCACTAGAAAGAAGAGAGAGAGAAAGCACCCTCCACAGGACATAGTCACACCACAATCTTTATTCTCTTTTTTCCTCCAGTTTTCCTTCCCATCGGGATTTTAGGCACTCACATACATGCACCTGGCATGCTTTTCAAGTTGCCAGGGCCAGATTTGAACCACAGTTGACTGTGAAAACCAGCTTCCTATGCACAGAGCTTAACTGCTGTGCTATGGGAACCAGCGCAGCCAACTGATTCTCCTACATGACCTCTCAGCATCTGATTAATTTCAGTGCATGCAATGGTGATTTTTTTCCTCTTAAAGATATTCCAATATTTCCTGGGAACCAGCAGTTAGTGTAATGGCTATGTCGCTGGACTCCCACGTAGTTGACCACGGTTTGCGTCCCAGACCCGGTGGCTTAGAACTCACGCCGGGCGCATGTGCGTGCATGCCCAAGATCCTGAGAGGAGAATGGAGGAGAAGGGATTGTGGTGTGACCATCCCCCCTGGGGGGTGATTTCTCTCTTTCTGTCTCTATGTCTTTCTCCGTCTGTCTGGCGAGTGCACATGCCCTATAGAAATAAACCTCTCCAAAAAAAAAAAAAAAAAAAAAGATATTCCAATATTTCCTGGTGCCAGGTGATTGGATTCATATCCCACGACCTCCCTAAACAGGTGTCCCTGACAACTGAGACTAGGGATGGGACCTAACATGAAAATCCTGTTGGGGATGATTTTCTTTCTCTGTCATGAAAGAAATGAGTAAATAAACCTAAAAAAAGAAATAAATATTCTCCAGAACATCCCTTTTTTGGTAAACCTACTGATTACAAAATGTCTAAACAAAAGATTTCAGGACTTGGAATCAGAAGACCAGCCCTTAGACCTGGCCATACTTGCTTACATGACCATGTGACCATGAGTAGGACCCTGAATTGCTGGTTGTCCAATCAGTGCTCACTCCAAGCTTCCTTCTCCCCTGATGCTCTCTTCAGCTCTTAAGTTTGGGAAACTCAGTACTCACTTTCCCAGTGAAGCTAAGTGGCCTACTTATAGCCCATGAGATGTAGGAAAGTTTCACTGGGGGATTGCTGAGCTTTGTTTTTTTCTGATGAAAGACAGGTCTATGGCTAGCACCATCCCTTCCCTACTTCTTCCTCTCTTAAGTAGATAAAGTTTGAGATGCTTGAAAGGACACGTTGTACCCATGACAAAAGGCATCATACAAAAACTGTAACAGTGGAAAGACCCTGGATTATACCAGCTTCACTGAGCAGCTGAACCAACCCCTATAACTACCTACCCCAGATTTCTTGTTCTGGTAGAAAGATAGATCCATATTTTTTCCTTTTCATTTTGGTAAAATCTGTATAACCTAAAATTTATTTTTTAACCAATTTTAGGTGTACAATTCTGTGGCATTAAGTACATTTATAATGTTGTGCATGGGGCCTGCAGGTGATACGTGGTTAAGGTGCCAAAATCCCTTCTACTCCATTCTCCTCCTGGAATTTTGGTCATGTACACACACGGGCCTGGTGTGATTTCAAGCCACCAGGTCCAGGACTCACACCACAGTGACCCATGTGGGAGTCCAGTGCCTTTACTACCATATTACCTGATGGCCTCAGTTTTATCATTCTTTAAATGGAATAATAATAGTATCTACCACACAGAGAGATTGTGAGGATTGAAGGAGATACTGCTCAGAGAGGACTTAGAAAAACACTTGACCCTGGGCCAGCCCATGGTGTGGTGGTTATGGTAGCTGGATCTCACATGGCTGCCTGCACAATTCAAGTTTCAAATGGAGCACTTGAGAAACATGAGGGGTGCATGTGAAGGCCCAAAATCCTGAAAGAAGAGAGAAATGAACATGATTGCAGTGTAGCCATTCTCCCCGAGAAGTGGGGGGGAGGTGCTTTCTTATTTTCCCCCTCTCTCTGTCTCCCTCCTGTTAAGTACACATGCCCTCTAGTAAAACTAAACCAGAAAGAAAAAAAAAGGAAAGAGAAGAAAAATGCTCGATCCATAGCAAGTTCTCAATAAAAGCTTATTGTTATTAGTCTTATTATATTACTTATAACCTGAAGGAAGCCTAATTCTAGACCCTGTTCTTTCTGTGGGAGTTGAGGTGGTAGAGGTGTGGTTGTTACCAGGTCTCGGTGTGTCCAAGGACTAGATTAATTAATTAATTAATCAATTAGGGGCCAGCAGGTAGTATGGTGGTTAAGGTGCTGGACTCAACACATGGCTGAAGCAGTTTGAGTCCCAGACCTAGCAGCTTGAAAATCACACCAGGCACATGTGGATGTGTGGCCAAGATCCTAGGAGAAGGGATCGCAGTATGGCCATCCCCACACGGAAATGATTTCTCACTTTCCTGCTTACTGGGTCTCTTGAGTGCATGTACCCTATGATTAAAAAAAAAAAAAAAAAACCTTAAAAAAAGTAGAAAGAAAGAGATCATGAATCAACCAATCAATGGGAAAAAGAGGACTTAGTGTCACTGTAAAAACCTCTTCAGTATGGAGTCCCTTTCTTACAAATGACAAAAACATCCCCATATGAGAGATACCAAGATGCAATGAATCCCATGGCTGCCTCTAGAGATTGTGTAGTCTGGCGGGAAAGGGCAGGGCAAACCATTGTGAGTACATTAACTACAGCCGGGCCCGGACAAAGGTTTGTGCACTACAAATATTTCTTTTTAC